GGAGGGAGGGAGGGAGGGAGGGAGGATCATATTAAACCAGAGATTTGCACATTTGTATATCAGTGGGATGTACTTGGGGGAGCACAGAGTGAGCAAGAGTGTGGAAGGAAGATTTATTCTGAAACAGACTTGGTTTGAAAAACAGAAATTGCTTGCTGCTCTCGCTGTTTTGCACCACCATGAACTGCTGCCCTCCGCCATGTGCCACTCTGCCTTGGAGCCAGCCCAGTATGGATTGAAACCTCCATAAACTGTGAGGAGAACCAAAAACTTGAAGACCCTGGTGTGAAAATCAAGGAAACCCCTGAAATACCTGAGGATAGGCACCCAGGAAATGTGGATAATCCCACCCCAGGTCCCAGTCCTTTTCCTGTTCCAGATCTAAAGTCCATCCTTCTGGGCCAGCGAGATAGCTCAGACAACTAAGCACCTGCTTTGGCAAGCGCAGGGACCAGGATTTGATCCCAGGTTCCACATGCTGCGCCGGCCCCAGTCCTGGGGCGCGCGGAGCTGGTGAGCTAGTCTGGGCTTGGTGGCACTCACGTGTAATCCCAGCACTGGGGAAGCTGAAGACAGGAGGATCACTACAAATCCAAGCTGCATCGTGAGACCATGTACCAAATACATAAATGAAAATAAATACATAAATAAATAAATTCTATCCTGCATCATCTGGCAATATGCTTCTTCCTCCATTTGGGGTGATCATCATTTTTAATCAGTACTTCTGCTGTAAATCTGCCTGTTCCATAGTTTGATACATTTTTTATCTTTGTTATTATTATTATTTTTTAATATATTTGGTTGTCACAGGGTCTCACTACGCAGCTCGAACTCATAGTGATCCTCCTGCTTTAGCCTCCCCCGGGCTGGCTCAGCCCACTCTGCGGGTGGGGCTGGGGCGGCATATTGTGCCGGGGACCCAACAGGGATCTCTGCACTTGCCTACGCTTGACGAAGGAGGCACTTTAGTCCGCTGGGCTATCTCGCCGGCCTCTATCTTTCTTGTACTTTACTTGGAATGTGCTGCTGTGATTCCACAGGAAAACAAGAAGAAAGATACATTTTTTCATTTGTCGGCCAAAGTCACTTTGTAAAATGAAAATTGTACATTTTTTATTTATTTTGCCAGTTCAGAAAGTTATCTAGATATGGCACCAAGTTAACTTTTCATTTATTTCTGTATTAAGCTTACTGGAAAAAAATCTTCAAACTGTATACTCTTAATTGGATTTAATAAAAGACTTTAAGATTGTGAGATTAAAAGAAAAAGAAAACCAGAGAAACTGCATACCCTAGTCCTATTAACTATCATTTTTAAAAAGAAACGGGGGGGGTGTTGTTTGTTTGATTTTTGTCTGTTTGAAACAGGGTCTCACTATGCAGTTCATGCTGGCCTTGAGCCTGAACTTAGTATTAGTAGCCCAGGCTGGTCTCAGACTCACAAGGATCCTCCTGTCTCAGCCTCCCGAGCACTGGGATTACAGGTGTGCACACCCGGCTCCTTTCCTGAGCCTTAAATCCAGAAACTTGTTCTTGGGGGAAGGAAGGAAACTGTAGGGGTCAGCCACCTTCCCATCACCAAGACGCAGTGCCCAGCACCCACAGATAAAAGAGCACAGGTTTTATTTCACTCATGGTTTCAGAGGAGTCAGGCTGCGGTCACCTGGCTCCAAGGCTGAAGCTAACGCAGGTAGCCACGATCAGAGCAGTGCTGCTTGCTTTAGGGCGGCAGGAAGTGGAGCAGGGGACGATGCCAGAGGGGCAGCAGCATGGGGCAGTGTGCAGTGCCCAAACGCTAGGTGCTTCTTAACGCAACAGACAGGAGATGCTGAACTTAGTCATATTTTCACTTCACAACTGTTTTACTTTACTGACTCAAGTTAATGTCTGAGTCGGCCAAATAGCTCAGTGGATTAAAGCACCTGCGAGCAGGCTCAGGGGTAGGGGTTCAATCCCCCAGCCTGCGGTGCTGGCCCTGCCCTCCGGGGCACTCTGAGATGACAATTGAGACTGGGCTTGGCGGCACACACCTGTAATCCTAGCTCTTGGGAGGCTGTAAACAGGCAGAACACTATGAGTCCAATCTATAGTGAGATCCTGAACATCCTGTAGACTCTTTCTTTAAAAAAAAAAAAAAAAAAATGTTAATGTCTGCTCCAGGTATCTTATGATCATTGGCCGCAAACAGAACACTGTGCCCACATCCCCCAGAATATGTGGCTCTGGCCTGTTTGCCATTCTGACTGATGGGCACTGAGAAGGCAGCAGGTGCAAGAACATCCCTAACCTCCCGCACCCACACACACAGTGTAGCTGGAGATGAAGCCAGGCATTACAGTGCATACCTGCCATCCAGGACTTGGGAGGCAGGAGGATTGCTGTCAGTTTGGGGTCAGCCTGGGCTGAAAACCTAAATTGCAAAAACAAAAATAAATAAATAGATCCCAAGGGGGGATGTAGCTCAGTGGTAGAGCACTTGTTTAGCACATTCAAGCTCCTGCATTGCACCTCGAGGACCACCCCACAGAAAGAGCAGGAAATGAAACCTACACATGAATGATGGCCTCTTGTCCCAGAAGGAAAATAGCATTTTCTCATCAAGGACAGGAAGCTGAGGCTGGGAAAATCTGTACAAACTTTGTTAGACTACCTTCTACCCTTCCTAGCTACTGGTGTACCCGAATATCCTAAACCACCGCTCTACATGTTCATAATTCACTGCTGTTTGTTGGGCTGGGGACTGAACACAGGACTTTCACAAAAGCTACATCCCAGGACCTTTTTTATTTTGAAGCAGGATCTTCCTAAATTGTTCAATTGAGATGGGTGTGGTGGTGTACAACTACATTCAAGAGGCTGAGGCAGGAGGATCCTTGTGAGTTTGGGACCAGCCTGGGCTACAAAGGGAGCTCAAGGCCAGCCAGAGCTGCATAGTGGGGCTGTCTCAAAAAGATTAAAAAAAAATTTTTTTTTTGCTATATAACCCGGACTGAATCGTTCCTCTTTGCCTGCGCTCTGTATAGGCCTATTAACTCTGCATGCCTCTGTACATCACTTCCTCATGAAGGCTGCCATGCCAGGTAAAACTGTTTTAAAGGAATTTATACCTTTGTCTCCTGTTGATCTGTCTTGTGTCCATTAACTTCCCAGGCCCAGTGGCAAAACCCTTATGGGGTTTTGGGGAGCATGGGAGTGAGGGGCTGAGTGAGTTTACACCTGGGAGGGGTGAGCACACTCGGGGATGGTGGGTTGTGAGGTAGCAGCAGGGAGCGGGTGTCCAATGCTTGCCAAAGAGGGCCTGGCTGTGGACCCTGCAGGGACTCAGAAGTTCAAGTCCCTGGGCGCCAACCACACCACGCCGACCTGCTAATCTCAGCTCCAGCTACTCAGTTCCCAGCTCCACCAGGACAGCCACACCTTGCTGCTGGACGTGACCAGCTGCAACTTACAAGCAGCATTTGGTGCCAGTTATGACTTCGAAAGCCCAAACATCATCCTTTGCTGAAGCTATTACTGTATAAGAAAGGGACTCAGTACCTCCTTATGCTCAGTTCATACAAATGTGGTGGACTCAGAATTCTGCAGCAGAGCTCTGGCCTCCAGGGGGTTGCATAGATATTGTTGGGGGAGACCGATCTGGACACAAGAACATAGGCTGTGAGAGCCCCAGAGCCCTAGTGAGGGTGCATGCCCATGCCCAGATGTGCAGTCCCAGGAGAGCAGGAGTGTGTCAGGGCCAGTTTCCATGTGCACTGCCACAGGACCCCACAGCGCAGCTGTCACCCAAGTGACACTCAGTGTATAGAGCTGGACTGCTAGGCATGACACAGCAGCTGTCACCCTTCCAAAACACTGCTGCACAGCAAGGTGGAAGGGAACTCAACCCATTTGCTTAGCCCCCACCCCCACCCCCCTGCCAAAGAACAATGAGATGAAAGCAACTTAAAAGACCCTGGCGTTCCAGGTTCCACGAAGTCAGCAAGAATAATAGGCTCCTGCCCCTGCCCAGAGCGGGTGGATCAGGATGGACTACCCCAAAATTCTGCCGCAGCAGTGCCACAAATGACGTTAGGAGTGACGTACAGTATGCCCACATCTTGCTGGGTAGGTGGAGCGCAGCCCAAGACTGCCAGGAAGTGGGGGGAGGGGATGGCAAGCTTACACCACCCTCAGTGTGCACCAGAGCTGCTGTTTCACAGCCATGCAACAAACAGTCCTGTCTTCTGTTAAAATTAACCTGTGTGTGAACCCTCTTATTTAATAAAACACAATCACAATGAAAGTAAAAAATGCAGGTATATGGGGGGAAAAAAAGAAAGACTCTAATTAGTTGGACATGGTGGTACAGGTCTGTAATCCCAGCACTTGGGAGGCTAAGGCAAAAAGATTGCTGCCAACTGGGGGCCAGCCTGGGCTACACAGTGAGATCCTGTCTCAAAAAACCAAAAGAAAAAAAAAAAGGAGAAGGAGGAGAAAAAAAAGGAAGATTGACAGAGACAGAGACAGAGAGACAGAGAGAGAAAGAGACAGAGACAGAGATAGACAGAGAAATCCTACTTAACATGAAGGTCAAACTCTGCCTCCCCTACAATGGGAATTGCATTTTATTTTTCTTTCTTCCTTCCTTCCTTCCTTCCTTCCTTCCTTCCTTCCTTCCTTCCTTTTTTTAATGTACTTAGTACTGGGTCTACAAGGCCTCACTACACAGATCAGACTTGTAATGATCCTCCTGTTTTCACCCTTCCAAGTGCTGGGAATGGAATTTTCAACCCAAAACAGCAGCAACTGAATTCAATGCTGATTTTATTCCAATGAAATAAAGCAATGCACAAGCTGAACTAAATGGAAAAAGTGAAAAAAAAAAGCAAAAAAAAAAAGGATTTTCTACTAAACCCTCCTCCACACTTCTCTTTTGTTAGGCGAGCTAATCAATGTCATGCAAAGCAACATGGGAAGAGGGGGTCCACGTGCAGGAGGGCAGCCTCTCTGTCGCTTCTGCGCTGCCTTCAGCATGGCCCATCTCGGATGATTTTAATGTCCTGCCCGGTCTTCCTGCAGAATGAACCACATGGACACAGTATCAGTTCCTGCCGTGCCAAATCTGGCTCCCTGTTTGCACGTGAAAGGCCCATGTCACTACAAGTTAGACTCCTTCCAGGGCTGCCTTGACACAATCATGGCATAAGCTAAATCCAGAAACCCTGAAGGGGGAAGTCCTTGCCTTCTCCACGTTGCCATTTTCCCCCTAAGCTTGGGGCCTTGGGCTCATAGCCTGAGCAGCACAGGACAAGGCAGAGTATCTGGGAAGACTGGGTTCCCAGGATGGACTCAGCTGAGTGTGTGACAGTCAGGGCAGTATCACATGCCTACTGCTTTCCAACTGGTGGCACAGAAGATGCCAGGTACCCTGCACATGTCCACTAAATTTAAAAGAAAATGTAACAGTCCATGGGGTTTAACTATTAAATACACTCTCATTTGTTTTTCTTTTAGGGTGTGTGTGTGTGCACGCATGTGTGTGGTTTCAGTTCCAGGGATCAAACCCAGGGCCTTAAGCACACCAGGTACTTGTTCTACCACTGAGCTGCACCCCCAGCCCCTAAGCATACTCTCCATTTGGAAAAACTCTGCACCCATGATCCTGATTATTTGGCCTCTAGTTGGTCAGCCACACATCACATCCTCTGACTGGCCTGACGATGCACTGAGGATTTTAGACCTTTTCACATGCCAGTGCGAAGGCTTAGGTGACATTTGATTCTTATACTCAAGGAATGACATTCTTCAAGAAAGCAAAATGCAACCAAAGCAAGAACAGCGTGGCTGGTGAGCCACCGAGGCGGGTTACCAGATTTTCACGCAGAGGACACACTCGTTGCTATACGTAGACAAGTCGCTCCCACACACGGGGTCCAGGTTCTTGAAACACCCTGGTAAGTGGTACCGAGCACAGTTTGGCTGAAGAAAGAGAAAGGGAGAGAAAGTAGAGGATGACCTGAGACATAATTGAGTTTGGTTTGGTTTGGTTTGGTTTGGCTTCTTGAGGCAGAGTCTCTCCTTGTAGTCTGGGCTGCCCTTGAACTCTCAGCAATCTACTTGCCTCAGCCTGCTGAGTGCTGAGATAACCAGTGTGAGGCACCACTCCTGGACAAGAACACTTGTTATAAAACAGCTAAGGGGAGAACAGTGTCCAAGTCTCCTTAGAAAGGATCCCACAAGACTATTTCTGTTTCCACACATACAAACATGACTTTTCAAATGTAAAAATTAATTTCAATGTTGATACAATAGTTTAAAACACTTTGCATTAAAAACGGACTTCAGAGGCTGGAGATGTAGGGAGGTGGTAAAGGGCATGCCGTGCTCAGCATACACGAGAGCCCGACTGGCTCCCCAGCGCAGGAAAAAACCAAAGCGTCGTGCATGGTGCCGATGCCTACAGTCCTGGCTACTCAAGATGAGGCAGGAGAGCCGCAAGTGTCCAGTGTGAGGCCAGCCTGAGCATTGTCTCAAATAAAATTTAAAAAGGCTGGGAGATGTTACTCAACACTCCCTGAGTTAAATCCCTGGTACCACAAAAAGAAAAAAAGACCTCAAGAGTTTTTATATGATCCTTAAGTGAAAATCTAAAGCATGCCACACCATTCCCACTTGGACAGCCTCTGGCTTCCTAATTCCCTCTGGACTACAGCCTTCAAGAGCACGCTCTGTTTTCTTCCCTTGGCATAACGGCAGGTCAGGAACTGGACCTCGAAGTTATGGTTTTAATGGTGCCTGCCCCCCACCTGCATAAACACACACACACACACACACACACACACACACACACACACACACCCCAAAGATATGCGAAAGTCCTAATCTCTAGTGCCTTGGAATGTGGTCTTATTTAGAGATAGGGTCTTTACAGAGGTGAGCAAATTAAAATTAAGTCATAAGAGAGGGCTCAATCCAGTATAACCAGTGTCCTCATTGAAACGGTGAAATTGGGATTTCGCCTCAGACAAGACCAGAGGACCAGATAAGCCAAGGAGGCCACTGGATGCCAGAACTTCAGCCTGGAGCAGGTTCACCTCTCAGCCCTCAGAAGGAACCAGTGCTGCTGGTGATGTTACTTGAAATTTCAAGCAACCAGAATTGTGAGACGGCCACTTTCTACTGCACAGGCCACCTAATGTGTGGTATTTTGTAGCCCTGCTTGGGTTCTGGAACCCATTCCTCTCCCCAGATGGAACTGAGGCCAGATAGGCAAGAAGCACGGCTCATCAGCAGGGCCAGGACAGGTCATGGGGATCAGACTGGTGAACACTGCCGTGGTTACCAAGAGGTTAAATATATGACCAGTTCCGTTTCTAATTTTGCTTTTTCTTTTATCTTTTTTGCAACAGTTTCATCATGCAGTTCTAACCAGTTCTGTTTCTGATTTTGTTTTTTGTTTTATCTTTTTTACAACAGAGTTTCATCATGCAGTTCAGGCTGGCCTCGAACTCACCTTGCAACCCAGGCTGATCAGCAAGAAAGAGGCAGATACAGCCTGCCTCAGCCTCCCAAGCACTGGGATTATAGGCATGTGTCACCATGCCTGGACTCATCTGGCAGCTCAGCATGCCTGGGGGCAGGACTGGCATGGCATGTGGCGTTGGGGATTGAACCCTGATCTCTGAGCTTGCCTAAGTAGGCGCTTAGTCCACTGAGTCATCTTGCTGGCCCTTGATGCTGCTTTTTTTTTTTTTTTTTTTTTTTAAGATCTTGCTATGTAGCCCAGGCTGGCTTTGAACTTACAATTCTGGTTCCTTCTTCCCACCTCAACCTCCTATTTTGTATTATAGACATGTACCACTGCATCTGCCTCTTTCTTTTTAAGTAAATGGTGACCACCTTCCCTTACTTTGAGTAAGTCTCCCTGTCTTTGCAGTGAATAAATGGAACGCATTTTCTATTGCTGTCACTTGAATTTATGAAAACAGAAGAAACACTGGCCATGGGCCAGGCTCAGAAGTGAAGGAGGCCACCCTGAGTCCTTCTGTCTTTCTGCTGCTGGGGGCAGGGTCATCCATCCATCCATCCATCCATCCATCCATCCAAGGATCTAAGTTCCTAAGGACGGCCTAGAACTTGTAGTCCTCTTGCTTCAGCCTCTGAAGTAGCTGGGACTACAGATGTGTGCCACCTACCCAGCTAAAGTCACCATTTATATGAGAACTGTTTCACAGTTTAGAAAAACTTGCTAAAAGACAAACTTCCATAAAAATGCTATTGAATTATGTGTGGATGAACCAACTGTAAATAATTGGGGAAAGATATTTTAAAGCTAACTTGTTTTGCAAGCTGTGTTTCAGAGCCCTGGGTGTCACCCAGGAGAACTTCAATTCTGGCACACACACAGAATGCAGGTTTGGATCATCCTAGCTGAGGACTTGTCACCTGTACCTTTGAGCAGAGCACAGGAATTGGCTAAGGGTTTTACAGTGTGTAGCACAGCTACAGCAAGTTATGCGGCCTGTAATGCGAATCATGCCCCCCTGGGAGACCCTGCTTTAAAGACACTGCATGTTGAGCTCATAGGCGATATACTACAGGTGCGGGTGTGCAGTGCGCACACAGAACTCTAGCTGAGATAGCTAAGAAAGGTCCTTATGTTGCTTGGATCCAGCTGAAGTCACAACGACTAAAACTACCAGCTCACAGCTCTGCTGTCCTGGGCTGTCCGCTTTGTCTCCTACCCGCAAGATGAAGGTTAGGACCCTGCCCCCCCCCCAGCAGCAGGACAGAGGGACTCAGGGTGGCCTCCTTCACTTCTGAGCCTGGCCCATGGCCAGTGTCTCTTCTGTCTTTATAAATCCAAGTGACAGCAATAGAAAGTGTGCTCCATTTATTTACTGCCAAGACAGGGTGACTTACTCCAAGGCAAGAGAGAGGCAGACACAGTGGCAAACGTCTATGATACAAAATAGGAGGCTGAGACAGGAAGATCGTGAGTTCAAGGCCAGCTTGGGTTACATAGCAAGATAAAAAGAAAGAGAGAGAGAGAGAGAGAAGAGAAGAGAAGAGAAGAGAAGAGAAGAGAAGAGAAGAGAAGAGAAGAGAAGAGAAGAGAAGAGAAGAGATGAAATGAACTGGTCTGATATTTAATCTCTTGTTAATCAGGGCTCTGTCCACCAGAGTCTGATCACTGTGATTGGTCCTGGCCCTGCTAGTGAGCCAAGCTTATTGCTCTTGGGAGGCTGAGGAAGAAGGATCACAACAAGTTTGAGGCCAGCCTGGGCTACATAGTGAGTGCAAGGACTAAACAGAAAGCCCTGTTTAAAAAAAAAAAAAAAATGAACAAAAACAAAACTGACAGCATTCCTAATTTTTATCCTGAATCCTAACTTGAGACAAACCAGTAAAATTAAGTACACATCCTAGCTCAGTCCCGTAGGATGCCCGCCTCTCCGAGGGCCACCTGCAGTTCCCCCTCTGAGGCACTGGCTGACCCACCAAACCCTTCCTCCTCTCTCACCATGAGCGCTTCCACTCCTCTCTGCCCTGGAGCCACCCCCAAATGACAGGGAAAGAGGTTAACGGTTGCTACAGCAACTCTGGACAGAGTCTCTGTTCTCATCTGGTCTCTGCTGAGTCATGGAACTTAATGTGATGAAACACGAGTGACATAGCACGAAGCAGAACTTCAGGCTGCGGAACTCTGTAATTGTTAAAGGAAATATTAAAGCAAACAAGGTTATAAGAGCGTCAAAGGCTGAGGCTACCCCAAACTAAACTCTGCGCTTTTATCTGTTCCAGAAGGCCTGCCTGGGGCTGCTTCTAAAGCACACTGTGGTCAGAAGGGCAGGGCAGGCCTGAAGAGAGCCCGTGGTCCTGGCAGACACTGCAGCAGTGGCTTCCACTTACTGTTCTAGGCGCGGCTGCTCTAGGCCATCTCTCTGTTTGCTTCACAGAGTCTGCAAGAAGAAAAATAAATTTTACTTACATAATTAAACATGAATTTTTCTCATAAAGGCCTTTTAAAATGTGTGCTTTATACACATCTTCTCCTTTCTTATATTTTTTGGGGGGTTGTCATTGTTTTGGGCTTGTTTGTTGGGTTGAATTTTTGTTTTGTTTTGTTTTGTTTTGTTTTGTTTTGTTTTGTAGACAGTTTCTCACTATATAGATCAGGCTGGTCTTGATCTCACTTATGTAGCTCAGGCAGGCCTGAAACTCATAGCAATCCTCCTGCCTCAGCCTCCAGAGTGCTGGGATTACAGGTTTGCACCATAATGCCTGGCTGATGCCTGGTGTCTCAACCCAATCTCTTTCCAGGCCCCCCCTAAAAAAGATACCCCTCCCTGGCACTTTTAAAAGAAAGAACATTTGGTTCTGTTCCTGTGCGGTCTGGTTGAAAAATGGCTCGAGCTAAATTACAAATATAGAAAAATAACTCTTAATAATTCAAGAGATTATTTTCTTCTGTGGCTCAGAGTAATAAATACAAAACTTAATTCTAGGTGTTAACTTGGGGGTGGGAGGGAGACCTGCAAAGGTCTCACTTTGCAATTCAGGCCAGCCTTTAACTCACTATGTAGCCCTGGCTGGCCTCAAACTCTCAGCGATCTTCCTGCTTCAGCCTCCCATGCTGGGATTACAGGCATGTGCCACCATGCCCAGCAGGTGTTAGCATTTAAACTCCACCTTCAACTCCGTGAAATCTGGCTGGAGGAACGCCACGCTGTTACGCACATTCCCAATCCCAACACATCTGCCCAGAGTCAGTAGAGTCCCTGGGTACAAAAAACCAACTCCTACTCCGGGGAAGCTACTTCAAGAGAGGAGGAACAGAGGACCCGGGTCGCTTATGAGGAGCAGGAAGGGAGCACAGGGCGGCCCCAACCGTGCTACGGCCCAGGATGGGCCGGGAACTGCCCGTAACGGGTGCGTGGAACCATCGCCAGGGCCAGCCAGGCCTAAGGATGGGCGCAGCAGCCGGAGGACTCTGTCGCGTCTTTGCGAGTCCCCATCACCCGGGCCCCCTGAGAGCCTCACCTGCGAAGGTCCCCACCAGGAGCAACAGCGCCCAGCACAGCGTCGCGAGTGCCATCGTCTCTGCGCCGCAGATGCCACTGCCACCGCCAACCGGAGCGGCCGGGGAGTTAGGAGGACCACGAGGGCGGAGCCTTGAGCGGGGGGCGGGGCCTCACTTTGGTGGGCGGGGTCTCGGCGAGGAGACTCTCAGAGGCGGGACTATGGGGGCGGCATCCGAAGGTAGGGCGGGACCTTGCTTGGTGGGCGGGGCCTGGACGGGGCGCACCGCAGGGGCGGGGCCACAAGGGCGCGGTCCGAGGGCGGGCGGAAGGGAGGAAGCGGGAAGACCGCGGGAAGAGGGGCGGGAGGGCGCGGCACCAGCCAGCGGTTAGTCGCCCGCCCGGAGGCCTGGGAGCCCGGCTCTGTGTCCTGAGCGCCTCGTGCCCGCCGAGCGCCTCGCTGGCTTCCGCTCCCGGGGTGCTCCCAGGAGGTGGGATGCGGGGACCCCGCCGCGGCAGCTTCCGCTGCTCAGGATCTAAGAGAGATTTCCGGAGAGCGGCGGGAGGTCGGGAGGTAAAGGCGCCTCCGACGCGGCGCTGGAGCTGAGGGCTGAGGGCCGAGAAGAGAGACGTTGCCAGGAAGCCTTTAGGTGTCGACAGGACTCCGAGGGACTGGGAGGCCCTGGCTGGCGCCCGGGGTCGGGGACCGTGAGCCCCAGGGCCGCGGGGAGGGACGTCGTTTCCGTGGCGGTAGTAGGGCGCCGGTGGCTGGGTGAACCCAGGCCCGCAGCGTGTTAAGCAAGTGCTCTTAGCCCTTTTAAAATTGAGTCAGCACCTTCCTCGTAGCTCAGGTTGGTCTCGAACCCCACTGCCCTCCTGCCTCAGCCTCCTGAGTAGCGGGGACGGCAGACGTGTGCCACCATCACACCAGGCACCAGTGGGGGTTTTGAGCAAGGGAGTATGCCTGACGTGCCTGTAATGGACAGGCGTAGGTTAGAACAGAGGGGAGAGCCTGGCATGGTGGCGCAGTCCTGTAATCCCAGCACTGGGGAGGCTGAGACAGGAGGATCGTCATGAGTTCCAGGCCAGCCTGGGCTACATAGTGAGTTCATCGTCAGCCTGAAGTAAGAGACCCTGCCTCACTAATAGCACAAGAACAGTAATAGTAAGTGGAGGGGGGCAAATGTGGTTTTTGCAGCGATCAATGCAAGAATGAAGGTGATCTGGATTAGTGTGCACAGGGTCAGGATTTGTTGTGGATATGGGGCCAACTGGGGTGATGGGCAGGCGCAAGGGTGCTCCCTGTGATTTTGTCCGCAACAGCTGGGTGGATGCAGGTGGCGTTTCTGTGAAGAACATTGAAAGATGTTTATTATGTCTAGGGGAACAAGTTTAAAGGCAGCTGGGAAGTGAACTTCTGCATTCAGGGGCTGAAGATAATGTGGAAGCCACCCACATATGGGAGGTATAAAAACTAAGGGGTCACGGTGGTGCACATCTGTAATCCCAGTTGTCTTGGAGGCTGAGGGATGTGGAGTGCAAATTTGAGTTCAGCCTGGGCAGTTCAGAAAGTTAGCAAGCAAGACCCTGATTCAAAACATAAGAGGTGCTCTAGGGATATTGCTCAGTGCATGACCCTGGGCTCAGTCTCCAGTACTGAGAAGGAGAGATCAGGAAGACCGCGTGAAAACAGAAGATGACCTTCGACAAGCCAGGGACAGGGCCTCAGGAGAAACCACCCCCAGAACCTCCAGGACACTGACGGAACTAATTGTTTAAATCACCTAGTCTGTGGCATTGCTAAAGCATGCATCACCAGTAAGTTAAAGAAAAAAAAGACATGTAGATATCCTTCCTATTAAAGGAATTAAATTTTCAACAATTTAACAAATGACAAGTTTATTCTGAAACACATCAAAGTCCTCCAACAGTAACTTATGCAGTATTTAAGAATATTTTTAAAAAATTAAAAATAAAATTTAAAAAAAAGAATATTTATTTACAGTTTCTTCTTCCTTAGGAAGCTCCCTTTCCATTGACATATTCACTGATTCTGAATACAGATTTGGGTAGCTAATCAGCAACACTATAGGATGGTGTTTTTATTTTATTTATTGTGCTTTTGTTAGTAATTGCCTGTCCTATGGAAAAGGGCTTACTATATTATCCAACTTACTAGTGATTGTTCATATGCTGGTTAAACATGTCATCTTAGGCCCCATTTTTATACAATAAATCATTCTGATTTAGACCATAAGCCATTGTATCTCTTTAAAAAGTTAAAAACTAAGCTGAGACAGTATCACTTTTCTTAACTTTTAAAACATTCGTGCAAGTTCCTTACTGTGATTAGAAGCAGAGAGCTGACAAATATGAGATGGTAACATGAAATAAAATGCGTGTGAGGCTGCCCACTAATGTTTTATCTATGGGCAGTTCTCTCACTCATTGATATATCAAAAATACATTTCCAACAATAAAATAAAAAATGTCCTTGTTTATTTCTTCAATGTCTTTGCCCTTCATTGGCCACATTAATATTTATGAGAGGTTTGTTTTTTCTGAGTATGGAAATTTAGTGGAGCAATGAAATGGGGAGTAGGAATAGCTGCTGAGAGACAGGAGGGATCCTGAAGGGTTGCCCCTACAAGAGGCTTAGAAAAATTGTGCACAGAGGGACAGTAAGTGAGTGCACTGCAGGTCCTGTGTCACACACGTGTGCTTTTTACACCTATGTCTTAGGCGTCATCATACACCTACGTCTCAGGCATCGTCACCATGCCTAGCATGGTAGCAGAGCTGGAGCCTGAGGCCAGCTGCTGCTGCCACAGGGAAAGGGCACCACACCTCAGGCACAGTGAGGATGCAGGGATGAGGCCTCCTCCTCCTCCTGGCCTGTTATCCCCTGCGCATCCTCTGGCAGATCCTTTAGAAATCAGCTAGTATTAGGGGAGGAAGGCCACAGAGCCCCAGTGTCCCAGAGCACAGTGTGGCAGGGGTGTTCTAGAGCCCATGCTACATTGCTGCCCTCTCTGGTGACCTTGACAGGTTATGCACAGGGACAAGGGAACAGGGAACAGTATAACATAAAGGCCTGGCCGCCTTTTTAAGGCTGGGAGTATTTGGAATGAATGTGAATACTTTTCTGAGTTACTAATGCTTTTTGTTTTTTATACAGGGGATCAAACTCTCAGCACCTTGCATTTGCCAGGCAGGCGCTTATGCCACTGAGCTATATTCCCAGCCCACCAATGTTTATTCTTTATTGTACTTGATCCTAGCCAGAAGGTCAAAAAGTGATGAATGTTTATTCTTTGAATAACTGCCATCAAATAGAGGTGCCTTGTTTTGCTGACGAGTCTTTTCAAGGGTTGACAAAATGTACATTTACAGAAGAGTTTTCGGAGTCAGATGTAGATTAATGGTGAGAGTGCTTGCCCAACGTGTGCCAGGGCCACCACCACACCAGGCTGCCACCAGCATCAAAGGATGAGAGCCAAAGATCATTGGATTTCTGTTATCGAATACCTTCTGTCACTACAATACATATAAAAAAGTATACATAAAAACTTTCATGCTTTAGGAACACAACTATACAATTCTGAGCATAGACTTGGGCGATACTGCGAGGAATTAGGGAGAATTTCTAATAGAAAATAAAAGCCATTACCCCCTCCAGAGAGATCTGGTGTGAATTTAAGTGAGTAGCAGCTATCTTTATGAAAATTAATATAGCTGAGAAATATTTTGTTCTATGACTTTGTTTTGATGTTTAAGAGCCACTATAGTTCAGGCTGGGCTTGAACTCACTATGTAGCCCAGGCTGGCGTCAGATTCACAGCATTCCTCCTGCCTCAGCCTCCCAAGCACGGAGTTTACAGGCATGTGTCACCATCTTTTCTTTTTTTCTTTTCTTTTCTTTCCTTTCTTTTCCTTTCCTTTCTTCTTTCTTTCTTTCCTTTCTTTCCTTCCTTCCTTCTTTCTTATATTTTATACCATAGTGCTTTTCTTGTAGTTGTCTCAGTGCCTTCCAGCCAAAAGCAAGAGCCAACAAGCGATTTGGATCAAGGGCCCACTGGTGAGTACTTCGGAGTCTTTGGGTGGCACAGTCTGTCACAACCCTTCAGCTCTGCTTTGTCAGGGAGCACAGAGCTGAAGCCAGCGAATGAGCGAATGAGCGTGGCTGCATTCAGCACCCCCTCCCAGGAGTGCCAGACAGCAGCTGTCCCAGACTGCCAGCCAGGCCCCGTGAGCCCCAGCCAAGCACCCAAATACACGTGGCAGTGCTGGCTGTCCACCTGTTTATCACAGAGTAAAATGAGGCCTAATCCTCATGGGTTTCGGCCCTGCTTTGGCTGCTCACTGCTGGTCAGGTGGCCACAGCTCAGCTCGCAATAAGAAAACATTTTATAAAGTACCCAGGCAATGTAAAAAAAGAAACTTTTTCAATATTATTATCTGGTTCCTTCATTCAAAATCTTTTAATTTTTTTTTTTTTTCTGGAGTTTGTTCAGGATAAGGTCTTTTTGTGTAGGCCAGGCTGGTCTTGTACTCAATATATACCCCTGGCTAACCTGAAACTTTAAATCTTCCTGCCTCGGCCACCTGAGTGCTGAGATTATAAATGTGCACCACCATGCCAGCCTCAGATACATTTTTATTTCATCCTGAATTGTGTCTGCAGCAGTTGGCTCTTCGGAAACCAGGTATGATGGCACACACGTGTAACTCCAGCAATTGGGCTGACACGGATGGCTGTAAGTTCCAGCCTGAGAAACTTAGCAAGATCCTATCTCAAAACAAAATAGAAAAAGACCAGCTGTAGCTCAGTGGTAGTTAGCACACTTGTCCCGGTGTGAGAGGCCCTGAGGCTGGTCTTGACTGTGTCCAGCCAGTCAGATCCAGAAGCAGGCTTCATCCCTGCCAGGCCTCTTGGAGTAAGAAGATAGATGCTTAGGGCTGGCCAAATAGCTCAGCAGATGAAAGCGCCTGCAAGCAGGTGCAGGGGCCTGACATGCTGGCCCCACCCCGGGGGCTCACTGAAACAGCCATTGGGCTGGGCGTGGTGGCACGCACCTGTAATCCCAGCGTTTGGGAGGCTGAACACAGGTGGATCACTATAGAGTCTGATCTATGTAGTGAGACCCTGTAGACCC